GCATGTCTGTAATTCCATTATTCAGGATGCTGAGGCAGGAGGATTGCCTGAAGTTTGAGGCCAGCTTGGGCTGCCCGGTGAATTCAAAACCAGCCTGCATGGCATAGGGAGACCCTGTCTCAAAAAAACCAAAAAAAAAGAAAAGTTATCATTGCTCTCTTAATTGGGGCAAAGGCAAGCAGAAGCCTCCTTTAATCTATATAAACTGTTTGCAGCATAAAGAATAACACAGATATTAACATAGTGAGCCCATTTGCCCACATCTTTGTTCTTAATTTTTTTTGCCACATTTCCTTAGTTTTTGCCTCATGAGGTGACTGATTTCACATAAAATTGGAGGTTTATGTGTGCCTGTAGTTTTCTTGTTTGTTTGCCTATCCTTTTTAGTATCAGAATTATTAATTTTATTTTATTTAATTAATTTATTTATTTTTTGGTACCGGGGATCCAACTCGGGTCCTTGTGCTTGCGGCAAGGCTTGCTAGATTAATTTTATTAATTTGATAACTTGGGTTTTTGTATGCCTGAGTGAGAACTTAATGGTCAAGTAAATGTCCACTATTCAGTAATGACTTACTGATACCTTGTTCTTGGTGGAAAGACAGATTGCATAATAGAGTCACAGGATTGGTTCATCAGTGAATAGGTCCATAAAATCCTTTGTAAAACAGAAAATGTGTAAACAGTGCCACATTTTCATTTAACAGATGTGTACAGCGTGCCCAGCTTTTACTGTACCAGCCACTGCTGTAAGTGCTGTCTGATTTTTCCCATTTTACTGTTACTGATGAGGAAACTGAGGCCCCATCCCAGGTTTTGGAGCTGTGAGGTAACCAGGAGGCCTGGCCCAGGGTGTTTGCACTTACTTACTGCAGCAGGCATCTCAAGACTCAGGTACTAGGGCCGGGGATTTAGCTCAGTGGTTTCACTGCCTGCTGCACAAGCACAAGGACCTGAGTTTGATTCCTAGTACCAAAAAAAAAAAAAAAGTTAAAGGTGTGATTTCAGGGCCAGGGATTTAGCTTAGTGGCAATGTGCCTACCTCACAAGCACAAGGTCCTGAGTTTGATCCCCGATTAGCCCCCCCCAAAAAAACCCCATGTGATTTGAAAATGATTCTCTTTGAAGAGAAATCTGATAGTTATGAAAATAGTGTTTGCATTTGAGAAAACACTGAGGTTTTTCCCAGCATGCAGTTTGATGCTGTTGTATAATTCTTTCCCACAAACTCATTCTGTGAGAGCCACTGTGATCAGATCATCTATGATCTGTAAAGGGAGATAACAGAGGCCCAAATAGAAAGTGACTGTGATTAAGAATATACACACCTGGGGGCCGGGGATTTAGCTCATTTGTTCCACCGCTTGTCCAAGTTTGATTCCAGGTACCAAAAAAACCCCATATATGTACTGAGGAATATACACAACTGGTCTGGGGATTTAGCTCAGTGGTTCTGCCGCCTGCCTGGCAAGTTCAAGGTCCCGAGTTCGATCCCCAATACCAAAAAATAAAAAAGAATATACACAACTGCATTGTAATTTGAGTGAGGATAATTCCATGCTAACATACCCCCTCTTTTTAATTTGACAGGGATGAACACGCTTGTTGGCTATGATCTGGTTCCAGAACCCAAAATCATTGATGCTGCTTTGCGAGCGTGCAGACGGTTAAATGATTTTGCTAGTGCTGTTCGAATTCTAGAGGTGGTTAAGGTGAGTGAAATAACAGTACTGAAACTGTTCCAGAAGTGTGTGGGCTATTGATCAGATTTCAGCATATTGTGTTTCTGAATTTGTTAAAATATCTAAAATTAGTTTTTGAATAAATAGAAGGAATGTACATTATAGTTACAAATTATCAAGGCCTTAAAAAATATGCATGAGAGCTGGACGCTTTGGCACACTCCTATAATCCTAGACACCTGGAGGATTGAGTTTGAGGCCAGCCTGGGCAATTTAGCAAGACTGTCTCAAAAAATAAAATGGGCTGGGGAAGTAGCTCAGGGGTAGACTGCTTGCCTAGCATAGGCAAGGCCCTGAGGTCATCTCTAGTATCTCACATATGCACGCAATAAACAATAAAACTGTGATACTCTTATTTAGCAATTATATTTGTGAATTTATCTTAGAGTTAAGCCAGGTGTGGGGGCGTACTCCTGTAATTCAAGCACTCTGGGAGGCTGAGGCAGGAAGATCACAAGTTCAAGCCCACCTTGAACCTTGAGCGGCTTAACAAGACTGTCTCAAAATTTTAAAAATGAGCAGGGGATGTGGCTCGATATGAAGGCCTGGCATTCAAGCCTTAGCACTACCTGCCCCCCCCAGCCTCTTAAAAAAGATGCAATTAAAAGCACACAGAAGTTTTATTAGAAAGGGTATTTGTTTTGTTTTTTTGGTACCAGGGATTGAACTCAAAACCTTGTGCTTGCAAGGCGGGTGGGGTGCCACTGAGCTAAATCCCTGGCCCAACCATTGAACATCCTCTTGCCTCAGCTTCCCAAGGGCTGGGATTATAGGCATTCCCCACCATACCCAACTGTGTATTGATCTTTTTTGCTATTTGTGATGTGAAATTAAATGTTGTGGCAGGCATAGTGGCACACACTTGTAATCCCAGCTATGTGGGAGGTTGAGGCAAAAAGATCACAAGTTCAAGACCAGTGTGGGCAACTTAGTGAGACCCTACCTCAAAATAAAGAGGTGGATATGTAGCTTACAGGTAGAGTGCTTGCCTAGCATATATAAGGCCCTAGGTTCAATCCCTAGAACCACACCAAAAAAAGAAAGAAAAAGAAATTAAATGTCATTAGTGTTTATTTTCTATTTTTTATTTTGAGACAGTCTTACTAAGTTGTTCAGGCTGAATTCAAATGGGATCCTCCTGCCTCAGCCTCCCAGAGTGCTGGAATGATAAACATGCACCACCATCCCTGGCTACAGTGTATTTTAAAACAAATTTTAATTAAAAAAATACAATTAAGGAGACCTAGAGTTTGTTGACAGTAGAACCATAGCAACTAGGCACATTTCATTTGACTTTTTAATGCTTGCTCCTGGGGAGCTCTGTGATTATACATGTATCATCATATGTGAGTCAAAATCCTTCAGCCCTCCCTAGCATGGTGGCACACACCAGTAATCCCAACACTGGGATTCTGGGGCAGGAGGATCGCCACCAGTTTGAGGTCAGCCTGGGCTATATACATAGTGAGACCCTGTCACAAAAAATAAATCCTGCCCTGGGTACATACACTCTTTGAGTGCAGCTCTCCATCAAGAAATACCACAATCTGTAAGAAAGAAGTTCCAGGTCTGTCAGGTGGAGAGTGACATTTCTTTATCTAGAATGGGTGAGATAATTAAGGGCTCTGTAGGCTGTCAATCCATTCAGCAGTGGTAGGTAATTCAGTTAGTGGCTCAAACTGGAGGCAAATTAAAAACTTCCTGTGTTAACTTAATTTTTCCTATTGCCTGCTGGGCACATTTAATTACCTTTATAAAATTCTGTCATCACCACCATCTTTTCAGTAATTCCAGGCTTTAAAATGCTTTTTTCTAGATGTAGTCTAATTGTCTGTTACTCTTAAAGTATCTTTAAAACCTACCTGCAATGGTGCCTATGTAAGTTGTCCTCTTTATTGAATAAATGCCTTATCGTGAAAGTAGAAGCCGTATGAATTCTGGCTGTTAGCCTCTATATACGATTAAAAGTGTTTTCAGGCTGGGGATTTAGCTCAGTGGTTCCACTGCCTGCCTCAAAAGCGGAAGGACCTAAGTTTGATCCCTGGCACCAAAAAAAAAAGTGTTTTCAAGCTCATTTTGTTAATAGAGACAGCTTTTCGGGATTTAGTGCGAATGTTTTCTTTGTCAACAGGACAAAGCAGGACCTCATAAGGAAATCTACCCATATGTCATCCAGGAACTGAGACCAACTCTGAATGAACTGGGAATCTCTACTCCAGAAGAGCTGGGCCTTGACAAAGTGTAACCCACAGGTGACACCAGTACTGAGCCTGCAAAAGAGCCCGGGGATGAGGGAGCCAGCTTCTAAGAGCTCTTCCTGCTTGAGGCTGGCTGGAAGCTTGGGGAGGGAGAGTGCTGCTAAATCAAAGGAACTGAAGTTGTTCTTAGTTATCAATGATCCAGGTATGGTGGTGCATGTCTGTAATTCCATTATTCAGGATGCTGAGGCAGGAGGATTGCCTGAAGTTTGAGGCCAGCTTGGGCTGCCCGGTGAATTCAAAACCAGCCTGCATGGCATAGGGAGACCCTGTCTCAAAAAAACCAAAAAAAAAGAAAAGTTATCATTGCTCTCTTAATTGGGGCAAAGGCAAGCAGAAGCCTCCTTTAATCTATATAAACTGTTTGCAGCATAAAGAATAACACAGATATTAACATAGTGAGCCCATTTGCCCACATCTTTGTTCTTAATTTTTTTTGCCACATTTCCTTAGTTTTTGCCTCATGAGGTGACTGATTTCACATAAAATTGGAGGTTTATGTGTGCCTGTAGTTTTCTTGTTTGTTTGCCTATCCTTTTTAGTATCAGAATTATTAATTTTATTTTATTTAATTAATTTATTTATTTTTTGGTACCGGGGATCCAACTCGGGTCCTTGTGCTTGCGGCAAGGCTTGCTAGATTAATTTTATTAATTTGATAACTTGGGTTTTTGTATGCCTGAGTGAGAACTTAATGGTCAAGTAAATGTCCACTATTCAGTAATGACTTACTGATACCTTGTTCTTGGTGGAAAGACAGATTGCATAATAGAGTCACAGGATTGGTTCATCAGTGAATAGGTCCATAAAATCCTTTGTAAAACAGAAAATGTGTAAACAGTGCCACATTTTCATTTAACAGATGTGTACAGCGTGCCCAGCTTTTACTGTACCAGCCACTGCTGTAAGTGCTGTCTGATTTTTCCCATTTTACTGTTACTGATGAGGAAACTGAGGCCCCATCCCAGGTTTTGGAGCTGTGAGGTAACCAGGAGGCCTGGCCCAGGGTGTTTGCACTTACTTACTGCAGCAGGCATCTCAAGACTCAGGTACTAGGGCCGGGGATTTAGCTCAGTGGTTTCACTGCCTGCTGCACAAGCACAAGGACCTGAGTTTGATTCCTAGTACCCAAAAAAAAAAAAAAAAACAGACTCAGGCACTTACCAAGGCTGACTCTTGTTCTCAGACATCAGTAATAGCTCTGGGAGAATCTGCTCCTGAGGAGAAAAAGGAGGCTTTTGTTTTTGTTTTTGTTTTTTTTGGTACCAGGGATCCAACTTGGGTCTTTGCGCTTGTGCAGCAGGCAGTGAAACCACTGAGCGAAAGCCCCAGCCCAAGGAGGCTTTTTTTTAAAGGGGTGGAACTAAACTCATATAAAAGTTTCAAAAACTGGATCCTAATTTTTTAAGGAGTTAATGTAAGAGTCCTTACAAAAAAAGCAACAGTGACCCTGGGTAAGGTGCGTAGTTAGTGAACACCTACTGAAATCCCTGTCTGAGACACTCAGCAGCTGGGGCAGAGCACTTGCCTACTGTGGGAGTTCCATCCCCAGCACCTCCAAACCCAAGGAATCCCATCCTTCAGTCTTCATCCTAACAAACTGAGCAGAGCTGCCTGAGTTTTGGGCTTTCTTCAAAGCAATGGGCCTCTCTTTCTTTTTTTTCCCCTTCCTTTCTTTTGGTTTGGTTTTTTTTCTTTTGGTACCAGGGATCGAACCTGGGACCTTGTGCTTGCAAGGCAGGTGCCAGAACCACTGAGCTAAATCCGCAGCCCTGGTTTGGTTTTTTGAGAGTCTCACTGTGTAGCCCAGGGTGGCCTTGAACCCGCAGGACCTCTTTCCTTAGCTTCCCGATCCTCCTGTCTCAGCCTCTCAAGTGCTGGGATTATTGGCATCCACCACCACACCCAGTCCAGTGGGCTTTTCATCTTTGCTTCCTCCAAAGCACAAACTCCCCAGAGCTGGTAGCTTATCATTATAACGGGCAGAGATTTTTGGGGCCATTACAGGTTTTTGTGATACCATACTTGGAGAATACTAGGTATCCAGAATGGAGGATTTCCTACTTATATTTTTTAAAGTTCTTATCTGTAGTTAATATCTTATAAGGAATTCTGAAGCGGTTGCTTAAATCTTGGGCTTTACTTTTCTATTACCAAGCATTATTTCCAGCTAGCCACAAGATCTTTAGTACATAGAATGTATGCTAGCTGCAGTGAGATTCCTTTGTGTTTGTTTTTTGAGACAGAGTCTCAGTACATAGTTCAGCCTGGCTTTGTACTCATGTAGCTCAGGTTGGCCTCAAACTCATGGTGATCCTCCTGCCTCAACTTCCTGAGTGCTGGGATTGTGGGCATGCACCATCATGCCCAGCTCACTCTCTCTCTCTCTTTTTTTTTTTTTTTGGTAAGTCACTTTAGCTGGGGTGTAGCTTAGTACCAGAATACATGCTTAGCATATTCAAGGTCCTGAGTTTGATCCCTGGCACCAAAAAATAAAACTAAAAATAAAAATTCTGAAGTTTTTAAAATTAATTCCTACCTTTTCTTAATTCTTGCCTTTCTAATACTTTGTGTTTTTTCTTCTAGACTGGCTTCCTTCTCAAGGATTTCTTGACAGTGCTACTTGATTGTAAACAATCGCCTGGAAATGCTGATGATAACATATTACCTTATTTGAACAAGTTTTCCTCTATTGAGTACCAAGCCATGTGATGGTAACCTGGACTTTAATAAATGGGAAACAAGTTTGAACCGAAATTAGGTATTGTTTCATTCTTTGCACTGAGACGCCGAAAATGAAGTGGCCTAGGGCCTTTGCTTGGTGTTGTGCCTTCCTACTGCTGGGAAAACTGCTTTGATTCTTGGGGATCCTTCACCCAGGAAAGCCAGTTTCATCAGGAGCTTTGCATGCTCTGCTGGCAAACCAGCTGATGCCGGAAGTCATTTGTAAACCATTTCCTTCTCAATAGAGTCAGCAAGGACCCCGGCCTTAGAGCCTGACTGGGGAAATTGAATGTGTGCCCTCGTAAGGCAGGTGGAGTAAAGTGCAAAGGTGGAAGATAGAAGTGCAGATGGAGAATCCTGGAAGACAAGTGTGGTAGCCCATCTTGTACCTGGTCCTTTTTCTTAGTGCCCTCCCCTCGTCTCCTGTTCTTCCCCTAGCAGTGCAGGGTTCTTGGACACCAGAGCATTTTGTGTGGAAGGCCTGGAGGCATGGTGATTGAACAGGAGTGAGGTAGGCTGCAAACTGGGAAAAGGAGACAAGTTTCACTCCCTAACAGCAGTCAAGTTGTAAAACCCTTATAGGCCTGTTACTGCACTCAGTAGCCTCCTTCACCTCAACTCCAATTTTTTGTTGTTTGGTTGGTTGGTTTTTTTTTTTAACATCAGTTATTAGGTTCTTAGTAAGAAATTTTTAGAACACCAATTTTTGAGGGTACTTGCCATTTGAGCAAAAAGGGATTGCATGTCACCCCACAGCTGAGGAATAGCTTTGATTTTTGGTAAAATCTCCAAGTCTACCACTTTCTGATCAACCTGGCTCTGAAATCTAGTGTTTCTCTTTCTTGGTGTTGAAGATCTCACTCTCCTGATGTCTGGGCTTCCACAGCTGCTTCTTGAAGTAAGCATCAGTGAAGTTTTGGGGGATTTTCACATTGCTGGTACCAATTTTCGTGGAGGTGGCAATGACAGATTCCTTATGTGTTCTACGCAGAGGAATGCGATTAAGGTTAAGAGGCCCAGTCACAAGTAGCAAGCCACTGGCCAGCTGCTTCAGGAAAACCACTCTCTTGCCTCTGTGGCGCCCTGTGAGGATGATCAAGAAGGTCCCAGGAGTGAAGCTAGCTCAGTTTTCTCACATGCTGACTGAAGGGCTTTTTGTGGCTCAACAGCTTTTGGGACACATCTTCAGTAGGGTAGTGTGTAATACCACTCAGGTACCACCATTCTTGTCACCACCAGCTGGTTTTGTGACAGTAGCAAGAGCCTTCTTCTTTTACTTCTCAACTTGGGTTTAGCAGCTGAGCACTTCCTCTTGTACAGAGCCTTTTTGAAATACATAGAAGATCGGGAGTATCTACTAATTCCTCTAACTAGGACTGAGTTTCAGCTGCAGTGAGGCTGAAACCCTTGGGCTTCTCAGCCTTCACATTACCCTTTTTAACTGTGCCAGTGACACTAGCCTCCTTGGCTTTGGGTTTCTCCTCTTTAGTATCTGGCTTCTCAGCTTTTTCGCCTGCCATATTGCAAGATGGGAAAAAGCTGTTTGTTTGTTTTTTGCGATAGGGTCTCACTATGTAGTTCAGGCTGGCTTTGAACTCAGTGATCCTCCTGCCTCAGCCTCCCAGGTGCTGGAATTATAGGTGTGTACCACCACCATGCCTGGTGGTATTGACCTTTTACTCCTTTCAAAATGTCTTTCTGTTTTTCCTTTTGTTGTTGCTAGTTTTGGTTTTTGGTTTTTTGAGATATGGTGATCAAACCTTGGGCCTTATATGTGCTAGACAAGTGGTCTACCATTGAGCTACACCCCTAGCCCTGTTTTTCCTGATGATAAAAATACACATGCAAGAAATAATACAGAAAACAAGAATGTTAAAAATACATCTGACACAGGGGCCAGGGATTTAGCTCAGTGGCACCACGCTTGCCTCACAAGCGCAAGGTCCTGAGTTTGATCCCTGGTACCGCAAAGAAAAAAATCTTACATTCAGCTGGGCGTTTGCTTGGTGTTGTGCCTTAAAGGTTGTTATGACTATTATGACTAAGCCTTATGCTGCAAAATTAAGCTATAGCTTTTTAACTTCTTCATACTATTTCCTATAAGAGCAGGCAGCCCAGTGTGGTGGTATACATCCCTAATCCCAGCACTCTGGGAGGCTGAGGCAGGACGATCACAGGTTCCAGCCCTGCCTGGCCAATTTAGCTTAGCAAGATCCTCTCTCAAAATGAAGAATAAAAAAGGGCTTGGGCTGTGGCTGACTATGAAGGCCCTGGGTTCAATCCCCAGTATCACAGAAAAGAAAGGAGCAGGCAAACTATGACTCAGGACTAAATGTTCCCCACTCCTTGTTTTTTTTTTTGGTACCAGGGACTGAACTCTGGTCCTTCCGCTTGCAAGGCAGGCGGCAGAACCACTAAGCTAAATCCCCGGCCCCCCGACTCCTTGTTTTTTTATTTCATTCAAGGGAAGAATTGTGTTTTACATTTATAAATGGTTGAAAAATTGATATTCCACAGCATGTAAAAATAGTGAAATTCCAAGTTCATTGCCCACCAACAAGATTTTACTGGGACCCAGCCACACACATTCATTACATGCTATCTGTGGCTGCTTTTTGGCTTTTAAAAAAAATTGTGATAAAATATACATAAAACATATTGTCTTAACCATTGTAAAGTGTACCGTTCAGTGGCATTAAGTGCATTTACATTCTTGTGCATTATCTTTTACTTTATTTATTTACTTTGCAGTATCAGGGATTCAACTCAGGTCCTTAGTACTGAGCTATATCCCCAGCTCTTTATATTTTTATTTTGAGGGAAGGACCCCCAGGCTGGGCTCAAACTTGCAGTCCTCCTGCCTCAGCCTCCTAGACTGATTGGATATAGGTGTGTGCCCTACATCTGCCCTGTTGTGGACTATCCGGGTCTGCTTTGCATTATATTGGCGTCGCTGAGTAATTGGGACAGAGACTCTTATGATCCACAAGGTCAAAAATATTTATTGTTTGGCCTTTAGCTGATTCCAGAAAACATTTGCCAACCTTTAATATAAAATAATAGAAATAATTTTTATAGCAAGCAAACTTCTAAATCATAAGACCTTTTTTTTTGGTTTTTTTGGTACCGGGGATTGAACTCGGGTCTTTGTGCTTGGAAGGCAGGCAGCAGAACCACTGAGCTAAATCCCTGGCCTGATAAGACCTTTTTTTGTTTCTCAGTACTGACAGAGGATTGAATCCAGGGAGCACCAAGTTACATTCCCAGTGTATTTTTTATTTTATTTTGAGACAGGGTGTCATTAGATTGCCCAGGCTGGAACAGCTGACTGTTAGGATTCTATCCTAACAAAAGGAAGTCTCTTTTTTCTTTTCTTATGCTTTACTTTGAAAATTCTCAAATTAATAGTTTGCCAATAAATTTAGCAAGCTAACAAATTTGTCTACATCTAGTATACAGACATTTTTTCCTGATAACTATTTAATTTTTTTAAAAGTACATATTTGTCATACTTTTTTTTTGAGTACGAGGGATCAAACTCAGGACCCTGTGCTTCTGAAGCAGGCACAGTGCCACTGAGCTAAATCCCCAGCCCTGTCATACATATTGATCACAATTATCATAGGGAATTTGTACCTGTACATAATGTATCTTAATTCTTCCCCCCCCATTCCCTCATAACTATTTAAAAGTAAGTTGCATGCACAACACTTCACTCTTAAATACTCCAACAGACACATAAAAATAAGTGTTTCTTCCCACATAACTACACTACTTTAGGCTTTAAGAAGATCGGCATATGGTGATTTAGCTCAGTGGCACTGTGCCTGCCTGGCAAGCACAAGGACCTGAGTTCAATTCCTGGTACCTGGCAGGCAGGTGGATCAAGAAATTTGACATAAACTGGGCGTGGAGGTACACACCTGTAATCACTGCACTCCAGAGGCCAAGGCAGGATGATCAAGAGTTCAAGGGCAGCCTGGGTTACATATACCCTTTTTAAAAATACCAAAAATAAAAAGGGTTGGCACAGGTAGGTGTGGTCCATCCCTGTAATCCCAGCTACCCAGGAAGCTGGCAGGAGGATCAGAACCATAATAAGGAAGGGTTGTTAGACTTTGCTTTTAGAGATCAGGTAATTAGAAGAGCTTGTCTCACAGGTTAAAAAAATAAAAAGGGCTGAGGATATAGCCCGGTGAGGAGACACTGGGTTCAGTTCCAGTACCAAAGTGGAAGGAAGAAAGGAAGGAAGGTGATCAAAAAAACAGTGCTTAATTTTTTAAAATTATTACAATAAAGCCAGGTGTGGTGGTGCATACCTGTAATCTCAGCACTCAGGAGGCAGAGGCAGGACTGTTGCAAGTTTGAGGCCAGTCTGAACTACAGAGCAAGACCCTGTCTCAAAAAATTTAAATTAAGTAAAATAATTACAGTAAAAGACATTGCCATTAATCCTCTAAGAATATCCCCCCTCACTTCAAATACATTTATCTCATCTTTCTGCATCAGTTCTGGAAGTGCCTTTTACTTAGTCAAGCTGTTGTGGCTGCCCCGATGTCCTAAGTCCATTCAAAACTTTCCCCTTTCATGGTCATTTTGACTTAGAGAAGAGTCAGAAGTCATGTGGTGCTGGATCCAGAATAAGGTGGGTGACACTATCTTTTTATTGGACAGAAATTGCCATAAATGGTTGATAGTGACCAGTGATTAAAATATATAGTGAATGTTTTAAAAAATTTACCAGTAAGCAGCCAGAGATGACCTGTGAAAATGGTTCCCTACTTTTGACTCAGAAAACCCCACAAAATCATACAAATGAAGAGGTTCACATCTTCATGTTCACTTTAAGAACACTGGTAAAACTGCCTAGGCCATCAAGGACATCCATATCAGGAAGGCTGCGTGTCTGAAGGGTGTCCTCTGAAGAAGCACGGTGTGCTCTCCTGGCGTGACAGTGTTGGGGTGGCAGCTGCGCCCAGGACACGCAGTGGCGCTGGACTCAGGGCCAGTGGTCCAAAAACAGTGCTAGATTTTTGGTGCATGTGCTTAAAAATACAGAGAGTAACACTGACTTGAAGGGTTTAGACATAGATATTCTGGTCATTGAAGACATCCAGGTAAACAAGGTACTCAAGGTGCACTGCCGGCCAACAGTGCTCATGGTTATGTTCACCCACTATCAAACTGTTCCCAAAACAGAGGAGACTACCTAGAAGAAAAGACATACCAGAAGAAACTGAAGAAAAAAACTTGCAGCATGGGAATAAAGGAAGCATAAAGTAGAAAATAAACTGATTACAGTAAAAGACACATGCATCTACCTCAAAATACTCCCCCTCGCTTCCAACACACTTATCCCATCCTTAGCAATATGTCTTTTGCTGTAATAATATTTTTTACTTTAAACATTCACCATGTTTCTTGGGGCTGGGATGTGGCTCAGTGGTAGAGCTCTTTCCTTGCATGCACAAGGCCCTGGGTTCAATCCCCAACACCACAAAAAATTAAAAATATTCAAATCAGTTGATCCCCCTGCCTCAGCCTCCACAGTAGCTGTGACAAGTAGCAAAGCCAGGGGAAAAAATCACTTCTTTGGAATTCACAAGGACTTGGGTTCAAATTCCAGGTTGACAGTTGACTGGTGAATCTGTATACAAGGAGTAAGACTGGTTTCCCTGGGTGGTCCCCTTAAGCACCCAGTTGGGCCACTATAACTGATGTTTCTGGAGTTCAAAAGCAGCCCAACAGATCATGTAAGGGGTGGTGGGGTCCATGTGTTTGATTTTTCAACCACTCCAGGCCTGAATTCTTCCCTTTCATCCATCCTGCCGATGGCATAGTCCAGCCAAGGATTAGGGTCACCTCCAGGGCTCAAGCCCTTGCTGTTATCCCAATCTATACGGTAAAACAAAGGACCCATGACACAGCCCTGAGGTCCAAGGATCCGGAGCTCATTTCCAGCAGGCCTTGGGGGCCCAAGAAGCCAGAAGCCTGACACAAGTCCTTCCCCAGCCACACACAATCCAGTTTTCCTAGTGCAGATTTGGTTTGTTACTGCACAACTGGAAAAGAATTGGCTCCACCGTATTTCTTTTGTGGATCTGGGAATCAAACCCAGGGGTTAGCGCCTGCCAGGTTAGCAATCTCCTGCCCAGCTCCACCTCACCTCCACCTCAGGCTCCACTTTATACGAAGTGTGAGGAGGCCTAGGGAGGCCAAGGTTTCAACCTTTGCCAAGGTTTTAGGCCCCACGTGATGGTGGCACAGCCTGTCATCCCAGAACTCTGGCAGGCTGAGGCAGGAGGATCACAAATTCAGATACAGCCTGGTGATTTAGCTAGATCCGGTCTCAAAATTTTAAAAGGGCTGGGGATGTAGCTGTGTGTGGAGGCTCTGTGTTCAATCTTCAGTACCGCAAAAGCAAAAACGTGGGGTTTGGCGTCTGATCCAACTGCCCAGACACTGTCACTAGTAGTGTCACTTCCCTGAACCTCTCGCACCTGTTTCCTATTCTGGAGCAGGGGCTGTTACCTCTCTGCCTCTGACTCTTGTTTTGAGACCTCGCTAGGTCGTCCAGGGTGCCCTCAAGCTCAGTGATCCTTCTGCCTCATTCTCCTGAGTGCTGGGATTACAGTCCCACACCCGTGGCGCTGAATAAACATAATTTTCTCACTGGAGACAGAACTGAGAGCCGGGACAGCACCAGGGTCAGGAGGATTTCAACCTTGCAGAGCTCCAAACTAGAAGAACAGAACCTGCTCCGCCCCTCGCAGGGAGGAACTGTTTGTGCCACCCACCCTGCAGCCCTATGGGACAGCGCCGAGGGGCAGCCCACGCCTGCGCGCCGCCATCTTGCTGCCGGAGCGCCCGCCCCAGCCGGCACGCGAGCCTCGGGGCGGGGCGGCGTCGCCGGCGGTGTGAGACTTGGCCATGGCGACCGTGGAGGCCGGCGGCGGCCGTGCGGCTCGGGCTTCCACTGCCGGGTCCCGGCCGGGCTCGGGCGCGGAGCACGCGGCAGGAGCTGCGGGGCTGTCCTCGGGAAGAAGAGGCGGGGAGCGTGCGCCCGCGGCCGTGGAGAAGCGTGGGCCGTACACGGTGGCGCGCGCGCCATCCGTCCAGGCCAAGCTGCGTGCGTGGGGCGGGTCCCGGGAGGTCCTGGGGGAAAGGGGGTCAGGGAGACCTGGCTGACCCGGCCCTTTGCCTTCCAGAGAAGCACCGGGACCTGGCCAAGGCCATGCTGCGGAGGAAGGGCGTTCTGAGCGCCCTGCCTAGCCTCCCCGACTCTACAGGGAAAAGGTCTCTGCGGCGACACCTCCCCGGGCCGCCCGCATCCCTGAAGGCTGTCTTCAGCTTCGAGGTCACGGCTGCGTCCGGGGCTCCTCTGATCGCGCCGTTGGGTTCACTCTCTGGAAAATGGAAGAGGAGCAACTCTTCCTCTCTCCCCTAATGGCAGTGACAGTCCGCAGGAAGGGGCTTTGGAAGGAGGGAATCAGGCAGTGCCAGGGTCCTTCCTGGAGTGTCTGAGTGAGGAGCTTGTGGCTACAGGCCCCAGGAGAGAATGGACAGTCCCTGGAAAAGGCCAGTGGTGCGTTCTGGTCCAGCTGTCAAGCTGGGTAGGACCTCGTCCAGTGGTTCCCTTTTGCAGCTAAGAGCTGAAACCCGCAGAGGCAAAGAGATTTGCCCACAGATTTGCGGCTTTTGGTTCTCTGGTTAAATAAGGTGTGGGGGTGCTTTTTCCCAGGAGCACTGTGGGGCAAGGAGTGGGGCCTGTGTACCCTGAGATGCTTAGCCAGGTGCTGGAGCTGCAGAAGCTGTGTCCAGTTAGACGGGAGCTAGGACTCCGGCTTTCCCTGCACAGTGCCTGCGCTTTCATCTGTGCTTGGTCTCTCCTCCCTGTCCCTCAGGTCAGTGAAGTTTAACAAGGGCTATACTGCTCTGAGCCAGAGTCCGGATGAGAACCTCGTGTCCCTCGACTCTGACAGGTGAGCGTGCCCCTGGGAGAGCACTGCAGCAGCCTTGTGCTTTTGCTTGTTTCCCACCTCCTCGAAGGCCCTGTGCACACCCAAGGGTGGCCCTTCCCAGGATGGCTGGGTAGTCACACTGCTCTAGGGTCTGAGCACCCATGTGTCCTGGGGGAACCGCCGTGACCTGTTAGGTCTGCACCATTAGTGAGAGTGACCCTGTTCCTGCTGGAGCCCACTGAGGCAGCATTTGCACTCTCCGCTGGTTCTTCGTTGAGTGCTCTGGCTTGTGGTCAGCGTCAAATCACACGGACCCCTTTGCACGCTTTCCATCTCACTGTCCACCACTGTGCTCCTCGGGCCTGCCCTGATCTGACTGTGTTCCTCTTCTCCTAGTGATGGGGAGCAGGAATCCAGATACTCCTCCGGGTACTCCTCTGCCGAGGCAAGTCCAGAGCACCCTTTTGCATGGGGCCACACTGTGGGCAGCCTCACCACCACTGGCAAATGGGGTGTGGTGCCTGCTGTGTGCACAGACAGCACTGTACCAGACTTCTGGTCTGTTCTCTGCTCTTCCACTCTAGCCTCTTCCCCCACAGAGGTATAGGCTTCTTAGGAGGGCTGTTGACAACCAGGAGACCATGCATCCTCAGTGTTGGAGATGATTCCTCTTGAAAGATTCTGGCTAAGGATTGACTAGTCTCTGCTTGCTTGAATGCTTGTTGTAATTATGTATTTACTACCTTTAAGAAGCATTGCTTGCTGCCCTTCCAGCACACACACAAACCCTTCTTCAGTAGCTTTGTTAATCTAAAATGTTTCTTGAAGCCTGGAACCACTAGGCCTTCCAGTGTCAAACAGTAACTATCCATCCCACCTCTGCAGTATTGGGGATTGAACTCGGGGCCTCATGCATGCTAGACAAGTGTTCTGCCACTTTGAAACAGGGTCTTGCTAAGGTGCCCAAGCTGGTCTTGAATTTAAGATCCTCCTCTAGTCTTCCTTTTGACTGACTCCTTTATCTGAGGTAGTCATTCAACCCTCCCCACCCATCTTCCACCAAGCTTGTTTTCTTCCATGCCAAACAATTTCAGTTCCTTCAGTTCTTCCATCTGTGGGAACTCAGACTGAGACATGCCTGGGCTGGCCTTGCGGGCATTTTTCAGAGTGATCATCCCAGACACAAACCAGGTTCTCCACCAGCCACAGTGGCACATACATGCCTGTTGTCCCAGCTCCTCAGGAGGCTGAGGTAGGATCACTTGAGCCCAGGAGCTCAAGGTCAGCCTGGGCAACACAGAGACCCCACCTCTTAAAAGTTCTGGCATGTGCAACTTGCTCCCTTTGACGGAGGTGAATGCTGGGGATATAAATGCACCACCAGCATTTCCTATTCTCTAGGAAACCATTGGGTAACCTCTTGAGTTCCTATGAAAGAAAAACTAGGCAGTTTGGACACAGTGTTCTCCTTGAATGTCTGAGAGGCTAAGATTATTAAAACAAAAGTAAACTTAGCCAAGAACCAAAGGAAGTCTTTCACTTTCTAGCCTCATGTAGTTTGTCTGCCCAGTGGTACTGGTGAGACCAGGCTGACTGGTTCCATATTGCAGGGACTTAGCTCTGTGGGCCAGGGCCAGGAAAGATGACAGGTCTAACAGGCAGTGTAGCTGCTTCCTGCCCCCTCCCACTATAACCCATATTCCTCTACTACTCTAGCCCATTGTTCTATTGTCATTGTCTCATATCCTTCAGCCTTGACAGGGACATCTGGGTTCCTGTGGGAAGGGTCAGGGAAATGACTATCAAATGGTCTAGAATTTGAAACTGGTATCAAATGCATCAGGATTCTTCAGTGATAGTCCCCTGGGGGTCCCTGATGTGAGGCCTGGAGGGTATTAGTGAAGGCACAATTTGGAGAAAGTGGTGCTTCCTGTAGTTCCGGGACACTATGGAGTGGGCTTGGGGTGGAGGGTGGACCGGAAGCTCCAGCATGGGAATGTGGGCAGCAGCTATCTCTGCTTGGCATCTTGGCTTACAGTTCCCACCTTGCCCTCTTTCAGCAGGTGAACCAGGATATGAACCGGCAGCTGCTACAGGATGGCTACCACCTGGATGAGATTCCAGATGATGAGGACCTGGACCTCATTCCCCCTAAGCCTATGGCCTCCTCCACATGCTCTTGCTGCTGGTGCTGCCTTGGGGACTCTTCTTGTACCCTCCAATAGACAGAAGCCTCCCCGCACAAGGCCTGCTCACCATGTAGCAGACACAACCTGCTGGCCTTCATAGCTCAGAACATTGTGGGGACAGCTGTTGGCCCAGAATCGCTGGAGACACAGCCCTCTGTGGTCAGGGACTTACAGGGAGCCCTCACCCAGTGCTTCTTGGGCCAGAGGCCCATCTGGGCCATAGGATTGATGAGTGGAATTCTGCAGTTTCCTCTGTTGTCGTGAGTTTGGAAAAGCTGCTTTAGTAAGGGCAGGAGCAGAGGAATTAGTGTTCACATGGTGGCTGATGGAGGTGGCTGAGAAATGCACTTGCAGACATAGATTGGTGTTTGCCATGGTTCTCAAGGGAAGGGACAGTTTTTGTGTCTGAGTCGTGCTGGGCAGCATTGTGTGGAGGTAGAAGACACCACTTCATAGCTCACAGCTGGGACTCTGAAAAGGAATTTCCATATGCTGTCCTCCTTTTCCTGTCTCTTAGGTTCACAGGTATGATCTTCAAGATCATAAACCAGGTCCCTCTGTCCCCCTTCAGGTCCCACCTGTCTGGCTATGGCAGAAACAGCAGGTTGCTAACAGGATCATGGCTTCCAGAATCCCTGGACCTGGGACAGCTGTCTAGTGGGTTAACTCTGGTCGGCACCCCCTTAGTTAGAGGAAAACTCCTTCATCCTAGACATATTTATTTATTTGTATTTCCCAGGTGTTGGCTGGCTTCTCCACCCATTGAGCTGAGGTTGGGTTGAAGGTACTGGAGCTGGCCCCAGATACCTGGAGTTTTTGTGATTCCCAGCAGAGGGAGCTATTGCAAGGGCAGTCTCATGCCTTTTTGTTCACCCTTTTATATTCTGGAGACAGCAGTGGGTCCCCAGGGTGCACTGGTGTGTGGTGTGTGGCTTGGATGGAGACAAGCAATCAGGCAGAATGGGAAGGAGAGACCTTGAGCCAGCTCCCATGAGCAGTAATCCAGCGGCCAGTGCAGAGACCTCTCGAGCCAGGGCCACCCTACAGTCGACTCTTATGTGCCTCTACCAGTGCTTGCCTAGTGTGTGAGGCCCTGGAAAAATCCACATGGACTGGGCTATAAAGCAAGCCCCGGGGTGAACACTGCTGACAGTCACGAGCACTGTGACCCTGCTCGAGAATTTCTCTTGCTACCCCAAGCCTCCCTCTGGAGTGAATTCTACAATCTGCCCCCTTTGCCTCACTCAGGTGTGGTGCAGTTGGAAAGGAGGTGCATAGGGTTCACAGCTCAAGGTGCATGGTAGTCAGGGTGAGGGTGTGGAGCATCCAGTCTCTCACTCCCCCCATGTTCTGTGACTACTGAGGGATGGTAGAGACTCTTGAGTCTCTACCAGAAGAGGCGGATAGGAAGAGAAAGCCCAGTCTGTTCCTTGTCAGACACTGTCCATGGGAAGGCCATCCTAGCAGGGCTTGGTAAGCTTCTATTTTTGTGAGACTGGGAGGTTGAGTACACAGCACCTTGGGCCATGGCTGATTGTTCTGCTGCTGGCAGCATCGCAGGATTGGAGATGGACAGAGACCCAAGGCCCATCAGCTTGGGGCTGGGATAGGGGAGGTAGTGGCTGCTCTGTTCTGCAGTGGGACTCTGTAACAACCCAGGCAGCCCACATTCTGAGCTGTCCCCAGCAGAGTCCATGTGCAGGCCTCATTGAAGGCAGACAGTGCAATGTAGAGGCTGGGGGGCAGGGACACTCCATGAGCCCCGAGTGGGACATGGAAGTCACATGTGGGTCTATGTTTGAGGTCCTGGTTAGAACAGAGTAGTCTGGGTATTTGGGAACCCAAGCCATGTCTTCTTGGTGGTCGTTGCTGCAATCAACCCTAGGTGCTCGAACAGCTCCTGGAGGGGATGTTCCAGAATTAGGGAGGCCTGCAGGGGGCCTTGTGGTGGGGCCACCAACCAAATACCACCAATTAAGGCACCAATGTGCCCAAAGCCACACTGCCTTAATTCAGAGTGAGGGATGCTCTGCAGGTGATAGTCCCCTGGGGGAGGGGTGCCTGGGGCTCCTCAGGCAGGAGTGGTTCTACCTGGTGTTCACAGTGCTCGACAGACCCCTCATCTGTATGCTCAGAATAAACGCACCCATGCTAGCTGAGCTGTGTCTGTGTCAGGGATTTTTAAGGTCTGGATATTCTGAAATGAAGACATAACCTGGTGGACCAACCACGTGGCCCTTCCTGGAGCCCCCTCTGCTTCTCTGCTGTTCCTCTTGTCTCCCTGGAGGCCATGTGGCCTTGCAGATAACTTGCCTTCAGAATGGGTTTCTTCTAGCAGACCCTTTCTTTTCATTTTTTTTCTTTCCTAAACCAAAGAAATTTCAGAGGCAAAAATAAAACTAGGGATTGAACCCAGGACTTTCACTCTGAGCTGCATCCCCAGCCCTTTTTTTCCTCTGGGATAGTCTTGCTAAGTTGTCCAAGCTGGGCTCAAACTCGTGCTTTCCCTGCTTCAGCCTCCCAGTATGCTGAGATCCACACCTGGCCACCAAAACCTTTTCTAAGGTGGTTTCCTGGAACTCCCATCTGTGGGAGCTCTAGTATGGGCAGGAGCTTCCTGAGGCTACACCCTTATCCTACAGGGAGGGAGATCCAGTGGCCTGGCTTTGCTGAGTCTGCAGTGACAGGGTCAATACTACAGGCCAGAGATCTCAGTGAGATCACAGAAGGGAGCAGCCTCTTGCAGGGTTCCAGCCCTGGGGGGAGAATTGGATGATTCTGTCCCCAAGGCCCTGTAGTCTGCAATGACTGAATCTGTCAGGTTTTTCTGGAAGGGCTGACAGCCAGTAGTTTCAGCTCAGTGGCAGAGTGCTTGCCTAGCACACAGGCCCTGGTTTTTTGTTTTTGGGGGCTTATTTTGGTACCGGGGGATCGAACTCAGGAACTTGGGCTTGTGAGGCAGGTGGCGGAACCACTGAGCTAAATCCCTGGACCAGCCCTGGCTTTGATTCCTAGCATGGAAACACTTCCATCTTTGCAGGCCATGTTGTCTGGTGAAGCACTTGGCTTTACTGTCTCATCCAGGATTCAAAGAAATATGCACAGCTGGACCTGGCCTGCCAGTCTTCAAGTGCTGGACAGTGCTGCAGGAGCGGGGTGCTGACTGGTCACCCCTCAATTCCATCTCTGCAGGGCCCAAGGCCTGCCTGTAAGTGTGCAGCTGAGGCTGAGGCTGGCTTCCTCGCCTACTCCTTCCATTACAGGTTCTGGAGCTGGGCCAGCCACCCCCAGGAGCTGTCTGAGCAGGAATAAAGGAAAGCCTGGGGCCCCATCCAGGGAGGACTCTTCCAGCCTACTGCAGGGACAGAACACAGAGGTGAATGCTCTGCTCACAGCCTCAACACAGCAAGCTTTAATTGCCTAGACAGTGCAGGAGGGCACCAGCAGCACAAGTCCTCACGCCCTTCCTCTGTTGTCCTCTGAAGCTGGGGACAGCAGCCGCAGGCAAGAATGCTGCTCCTAGCAGCTCTGCTGAGGGCTAAACTAAGCAAGGACCATGGGTGTCACCAGATAGCCTGATACTGTGGGTGGCACAGAGCTATGACCTCTGGAGTTGACACTGCCAGGCTCAGGTGTGGTGAGGGCTAATGAGAAAAGAGTGTCAGCCTTGTCCCAAAGATGGCTCAGGTTGGTCATGCCCTGGAGTCACTACCTGCAGCCTCGCTGCCCTGTTCTTGTGTACCCACAGACTGCAGAGCAGGAAGGGGCTTGGACTGGTGACCAGCAGGGGACAGCCGAGGAGCCTGAGGCTGCTACAGCAGACAGCAGGCCCGGAATAGGACTAGGTCCTGGGATGCAGTATGCTTCAGTGTGACACTCTCATTGGCCCCAACAAAGAGCACCCCACCACGCTGCAGGGGGATGGCTGCTTGGGCTGTGGGTGAGCTGGCTGTCACTGTCCCCTTCACCACCAGGAGGATGCTGGCAGAGTCCAGCACTGAGACCTTATATTCAGTGACAGAGCTGGGGACCTGTGCAGGAAGAAAAATTGAACAGTTCAGCCCAGACATGGGTCCAGGCTCAGGATGACCTTGAGGGCAGCCAGGGACAGCAGCTCTGCCACCTCCTCCCCACAGTTCAGGTTGTCAGCGTGGAGGCCACATCTGTCCCTGGTACAGACTGGATAGGTCCGACAGCTGCCCCACCCAGGAGCCGGACAGAAAGAACCCCCAGCCCCAGGTATACACTGCACTGTGAGCCATGCCCAGATTGGTCACGCTGTACCGAGGACACCCACCACAACCTACACCCCCTCACCTCCATCTTCATCACGGTGAAGTCCGGCACAGGGGGGTCATAGATGGAGAGGTAGGGGTCTTCCTGACTGTGAGATGGGGGGAAGAGCCTGTCTTTGCTGGGAGTGGGAGTGTAGTTGAGCATGTCACACAGGGTTGGCACATCAATGAACTTGGGTGTCAGGCCGGCACGCACCGTGTTGTCTGAACACGCCATGCACTCTACACAATCTGGGGACATACAGTTGTCACATGCTAAGCTGATGCCCCAAAGTCTGGCACTCCAGGGGTGGGCCCCTAACCTGAGTGAAGCCCCCTGTAGGGTTAGAGAAACTGTGTGAAGAGCATTTTCCAGGAGGATGGCACTAAGATATTACACCAAAAGCAAGTGACAGGCCCCCTGCTACAGCCAGGGGGAGCCACATTAACCCCTAGGGGCCCCAGACCTGTGACTCATCTCCCACAGCTGTGACACAGCCCTGTGTGGGAGTGGGTAAGCTAGCAGTCATAGTGTGACATGCTCTGGGGCAACACACATTTAATGTGAAAATCCCCAGGTCCATAGGACAGGCATGTGGGGTAGGAGTGAAACAAGGCAGCCTGGGGCCCCATGCTCACTGTTGGGCCTAACATCAGAGTATCAACTCCAGGCTATGGGAGATTCTAAGCAGTATCCACTGCCAGACTTGCCTTCATTCCTACTAGCCACTCAATGCTGAGCATGAGCACCCTTGGGTCAGCTAGGTGAGAGCCTCCCTGACCACCCTGTCCTCTTTCATCCAGATGGGCAGACAAAGCCCACAGGACAAGAGCAAGGGGCTCACCTCCCTCTAGGTAGGCGTGGGGCACACTGGCTTCCAGAAACATGGCCTCGCCCGGCTTCAGGATGAGCAGGTTCAGAAAGTAGATGGCAAAGCAGCCGATGTCCCCTGGGTACTGCTGGTGTAGCCGCAGCAGAAGCTCCCCACAAATGTCGTCCATGTTGTTCCCAGCTGACACTGAGGGTCACAAAGTACCCACGGCACTTAATGACACTTGGCAGTGTTCTCAGCCCCACAGTGGCTAGGAGTCTTGCCAGCTGGGGTCAATCTTTCCTTGGCCCTCCACCCACACAGATGCCATCTCTCACCACATTTGGTCTGTCTCATGCCTGGCACTGCACTGGCTTCTAAAGGGCCAGAGTATGGGCCTTTCAAGACAAGATCTCTCAACCTCGGCATAGCTGGCACTGGGCAAGACACTTTTTTGTTGCAAGGGCGTCCTGTGCATTGTTGGATGCCTAGCACCGTCCTCGGCCTCATGCAGAAGATACCACTAGCACCCCCAGTCCAGGCTTTGACAACTAAAGTCTCTGGTAGACTGCCAAATGTCCCCTGCCTGAGAACTACAAGTTTTGTTCCATAGACATGAGCCCAGGATTTTCCCTTTCCTAGCACTGAAAGTCCTGTGTCTCAGGAAATGCTTCAGACCCAGGCAACTTGAGATAGTATCTTTCCCAGAATGCACAAGGCCCAATGTGCCAAGGGCCATGGGTCTTTAGATGGCCCAGAAGAAGATAAGCTCACCTGGGTTACAGCCCCAGGCGGCAGGCTGCTTCGAGGGGCAGCCCAGGGCTGGGTGAGCATAGGAGCAGGGAGGGTCTTTGTAAGTAAAAGCCAAGTGTGTAGCACCACAAGGAAGGAGCTAGCTTGCCAGGTTTAAGGTGGGTCCCAATTCATACAGAGACTTGTGAATGGCTACTCTGCTAGGCACCAGGGTGAACATGAAGGCCAGACTCAGGTCCTGGCCTGGGAAGACCCCAGTTCCAGCAAGCAAGCACAGGACAACAGACTGAGGGGTGCCGAGGGTGACAACAGATACAGAACAGCAGCTTCAGTAGCTTGCGGGACGAGCGTGGATTCTGCTGTGAGACTGAATGGCAGAGAAAACACCTGAAACTACCACCACCAAACCTGAAAAGGTGGGTCTGGCTATGAGAAATAATGCCTGGGGCTTGGAGGTGGCACAACAGGGGAAATGTGCAGAGATAAAACCAGAGAAAGCTCTGGGCCCACGTGGAGAAGTGCAGGGTGGCAGGCTCAGGAGCTGCAGCCTTCTCAGCAGCCACACTGGCTCACACCTGGGCATCTGTCTGCCTATGTTCCTAAAACTTGTATCAACTCCTCCACCTAATTATGGATGTGATACAGCCACACCCATAAACCTGTGCTCACTTCCTGAACTCCTTAGAACAGGTCAGGCCCACAGGAGAGTATAAGAAGGGTTGATGACTGGCAGCCCTAAGCATCTGTCTTCTAGAGCAGAGAAGTGATTTGTCCCCTTCCTGCTCTTCAGTACCTCAACATAAGATTGTCCATGGGAAGCAGCTGGCAGAAGGCACTGGAACAGTCTCCTAGGCCAGACTCTCTCCAGCCATCTGGGGAAAAGTGACTGTCAGGGCCTTGCTCCCCAAAAGTAGTGAAAGAAATGGCCTGGCTAACAGGCCAGTTAGGTTGGGCCCCTTTTAGTGTCCCACCTGTGCAAAGAGGCTGAGAATCCTGTCCTCAGCCTCATCGTGGGGGGAGCCCAAGCCAGGGCATTGCACCCACCTTGCTGGGAGATACGCTTCACCAACACATTGAGCTGCTCTGCCACTGCCTTCTTCTCGCTCTTCATCAGGTGGGAGAAGCAGCTTCGTAGAGCCGAGGTCACCATCTGGGGGTCACTCCTCACACTCTGCCTCAGCTGTGTGGCTGCATCGTCCCCAATCAGGAGCTGGAACTCTGGCACCTCTGCAAGAAGTCAGTCCAGGGATGTAACAGGCATGGGAGTGAGGAGCAGTATGAGGCCTCCCCACCCCTCCCTAAGCAAGGAGCCAGGCCACACTAAGCAAACCCTGCAGTACGGGGCAGCTGCTCCCCACTAGCCCTCAACAACCCCTCCCAAGCCTGGTCTCACCAGTGTGCCTCCAAAAACTATTTCATGAGCACAACCAACCCTTCAGACCCTGTGACATTCAGCCTCTGTCCTCTGTCACTGCCTGCCTTTGCCTGGGTCACCCATACATCCCAGACCTGGTACACATGTTCTCGGTGTCCTGTCCAACCTTACTCTTCAGAAAGGTCAGGATCTCCTCCACAGGCCGGAAGCCACACAAGCCCTGGAAGGAGGTAAGTGCAATGGCCATCTCTGGCTTGTGGTTGGCATCGGGGTAGTGCTGTGGAGCCTGGAAGTGCAGCTTCTCTGCCAGTTCCTGTGGATGGTGGGGTGCAGCTGTCACTTAGTGGGAACACCAGGCCCACCAGTCCCTTCTCACCACCCTCCCTACTGCCAGCAGGCAGTGGCTTCAGACTTCTGGCAAGGAACCCACTCAAGGCATGATGCAGAAGCCTGGGATTCAGCCAACCCAGGGCAGGGAAAGAGGCCAAATATGGCAGAGCTGGGCAGACTATGAGAGTTGTGGCCAGTGAATCCAGCAACCCTGACTAGGGCTGACAAGCTCTGATACTGACAAGCTGTGTGACTTTGGGTAAATCTGTCCCCTCACTAGGTCTGACCCTGATTACCTAAAATAAGAGGTTTGGACAGATACTTGCTTGGGCTGGGGCTCAGGGGATGGTACAGAAGAACACTGCAAGGGTGGAGCTGAGGCCACAAATAGGGTGTTTGCCCTGCCTTAGAAGCTGAACCCTTCAGAGAGCCAGATAGGAAGATGATAGATATGACAGACCTGCACTGGTGGAGGGGAGATCAGAAATAGGTCCCCAGGAACAGAGAAGCTGCCCTGGTAAAGCCTCATCAGTGGCCCAGTGAGACTTGGCTACTATATGCGTCACCTGCAAATGTCCTTGCAGAGCTAAATTGGGAGCCTTCAGACCTGCATTTAGCTCTGGGCTGGAGCCTGGTATTGGGAGGGTAAAAGCAGTAGTAAAAGTCATGAGAGAACTGTGAAACAAGCCTGCCTCCATCCTGCCCTCTGCACCCCACTATGACCCTGTACCTTGTTGGGGTGTGCCTGGATGGATAAGGCTGTTTCCACTGAGAGCACTTTGAAGAGGAAGGGCAGCTTGCCCTTAAAGGCAACTTTGACCTTTGAGCCCAAGCAGTCCTGGTTCTCAGCAATCCACTGGCCCAGCGTCTTCTGTGAGACATGGTTGTCGAAGATCTTGGCGTCCCCCCGGGGATGCGCTCCCATCCACAGCTACAGAGAGAAGGAAGAACCAGCACCATCAGTCACAGGACCCAAGATATGCTGTGCTCCCATAGGGCAGTCAAGTCTGGGTACAAATGCTCACACCATCATGGACACAAGGGACACAGCTGACCCTGGAGACTCAGGGCCCAGTCTAGGGTCTGCCTCTAATCAGCTCTGGAGCCTTCAGCTAGTTATTTCCCTTCTTTCGTGTCACTCTTCTTGCCCGTCAAGTGAAAAGAATGACACCTGAACTGTCAAGGTCATTGAAAAGCCATGACTCTCAAACAGCTCTGTGAGGGGTTAAGATTCAACTACTCCACTCTCAGATACATTTATTTCTAGGCTTTTTTTTTCTTTTAGGTTAAGCGAGTTTTTATTGGAAATAACAAGAATAATACCTCCTGGATTTCCAAGAGGAGTCCTTAGTGGATGGCACTATTCCAAGGCTTTAGCATTTTCTCCACTAAATAGGAGGAATTATGCGTCAGGTTAATAAAGATCCAAAGATAAATTTAAAAAGTCAAAGAAAGCCAGGCCTGGTGGTGCTCGCCTGTAATCCCAGCACTTGGGAGGCTGAGGTAGGAAGATTGCTGTAAATTCGAGGCTAGCCTGGATTACATAGAGAGTTCAAGGGCAGCCCGCAGTACAAAGCAAGTACCCTGTCTCAAAACACAAAACAAAACAAAAGTCTAAGAAGGCTGGATTAAAATTCAGTAGGTGCTGAGAAAGGTGTTGAGGAAGGTGTTGGGGAAAGGAGGTCACTGGAAATCCCAGACTTCCACCACAAAACCTCTCCTTTTGGTGTCACCATGCAGTCCATGGACCTACACTGATCAGAAGAGCCAAGGGGGTGTCCTGGTCTCTGGTGTCCAGTCGATCCACATAAGGTGGAATGGGGCCCAGCACATCTCACCTCTGCATATGGCTTGTCCTCTGAGATCTGGGCCAGCGGGTCACTGCTGGCCAGCAGCCGCGCCACTTCACTGTTGGAGCCCTTCTTCCCCCAGGCATATTGTTGCACCACACAGGAAAGTGGGAACACTGGGGTACAGACAAGGATCAGCTCCTGTCCCTGCTTCAGACCCGGCCCTAGAGTCCCCGGAGTCTGGTCAGAGCGGAGGGATCTGATCAGGTGCAGAGGGAAATGGTTTGCAGATTGTGGGGTGAGACCTCTCTCTTCTGCAAGCCTCAATGTTCCCATCTGTGAGACTGGCCGATGGAGATCTCATCTGCACGCTGGGGTGCAGATAAGGCGCAGGAAGAGTTCGCCCACTGCCCTCTGTCTCCACCGACCCAGGCGAAGCCGGAGGAGCAAGGGGCGCCTTTTTGAGGGACGACACCCCCACCGCAAGATCCCGTCCTGCCTCTGCCCGGCCCACCCTTCCTCCCCGGAGCCGTAGGGCAGAGCTCTGCCTGGCAGGTCGGCTGGCGTTAGTCCCACTACCACACTCGCGACCCTGACAGATTGCTCACCTCGCGGTCCCGCCATCCTAGCAGCTGACCTGGCCACCGGCACGTCACCCTTCCCGGCAGCACCTGGGCCCCGCCGCGGGGCTTCACGGGAAGTGTAGTCCTGACCCCAATAAGGTCCGGCGCTAGACAATCCGTGGGTGCCATTTTTTTTTTTTTTTTTTTTTTTTTTTTGTCTGTGGGTGCCATTGAAAGCACGCGTCTTGAGTGTAAGCATCCCTCCCTTCTCTCGCACAAGTTTTTGGGGTTTGATTTTGGGTTTTTGTTTTGTATGAGACAAGGTCTCACTATATAGTTTAGCCTGGTCTTGAACTTATATGTAATTCAGGCTCGCCTCCGACTCTAGACGATTCTCCTGCCTCAGCCTCCTGAGCGCCGGGATTACAGGCGTGCACGACTACGCCAAGGCTTCTGCACAGATTTAGTGAGAAGCGGCTTGAGCCCGGGATTTAGCTCAGTGGCGGAGGGGGGGGCGGGGCGGGGCGGCAGAGTGTTCCAATGGCCCCAGAAGCTGGGTGTGTGTTTGTGTGCACCCTTGCTACTAGGGCTTAAACCTAGGGCCTTCACACTGAGCTATATCCACATCCCTTTAAAAAATATTTTTATTTTGAGATAGAGCTTCAACTTAAACTTTCGATCCTGTTGCTTCTGCCTCCCAAATTGCTGGGATTACAGGCATGTGCCCCCAGCTTGGCACAGAGGTTCTTGACACATCCCCACTATGGTACCTCCCACCACAGAAACCAGTCATGGTCAGCTTCTCAGAATCTTCCTGCACAGAGAAAGAATAACTTAGATCACTGGGGCACTCAGAGCCCTAGCCCTGCACCCTCCTACATACATACAAAAATTTGTAAGGACAGTTAGGAGGTCTGGACAACCTAGAATCTTCTAGTCTTTGCCCTTGCTCATTTATCTTTTTTTCCTTTTTCTTTTTTTCTTTTTTTGGTACTGGGGATCGAACTCAGGTCCTTGTGCTTGTAAGGCAGGCAGCGGAACCACTGAGCTAAATCCCCGGCCCCTTCTTTTTTAATTTTTGAGACAAACTCTCACTATGTAGCCTAGGCTGGCCTACAAATGTGTAATCCTCCTGCCTCAGCTTCCTGAGTGCTGGCATTAGAAGCCTACACCATTATGCCTGGCTGGTGGTCTAGGTCTCATAGAAATGAACACACTATTTTTTTTTTTTTGGTACTGGGGATCGAACTCGGGTCCTTGCGCTTGCGCAGCAGGCGGCGAAAGCACTGAGCTAAATCCCCGGCCCAATCACACTATTTTATCTGGTGATGATCTGCTGTCCTCTTTCTCTCTGGGGACTCCTGTGTAAGTTTCCAATAGGAGACTGGTTGCCAGGGGAACTAACAAGTGATTAGAGGGTTGACACTTTCAGCTCCAACCTTACAACCTCCAGGGAGGGAAGATGGGCTGAAGGCTGAATTGATCACCCAAGGTCAATGATATAATCAATCGTGTGTACATAAAGAAGCCTTCATAAAAAAATTAAAATGTACCGATAATGGCCTGGTAATGCACACCTGTATTCCCAGCACTCTGGGAGGCTGAGGTGGGAGGATCACTGCAAATTTGAGACCACCCTGGGCTATATAGTAAGACTCTGTCTCAAAAGACCAATGCAAAAAAAAAAAAAGCTGGATTCAGGGAGCTTCAAATTAGCTAAACACATGGAGGTCCCTAGAGGGAGATGCTCTGTAGAGGGCATGAAACCTCGACTTCTCATGTGCCTGGCCTTGTGCATCTGTCCCATCTGCTGTTTATCATTATCTTTGTAACATCTTTTATAATAAACTGACAAACATGTTTGCTGGAGTTTATGAGGCACTCTAGCAAATGTGTTGAACCTAAGGAGAGGGCTTTGGAAACGATAATTTATAGCCACTTAGTCAACCACAGGTAAGGGCCAGGCATGGTGGCGCACATCTGTCATCCTCGCACTCTGGGAGGCTGAGGTGGGAGGATCACAAGTTCAAGCCCAGCCTGGGCAATCTATGGAGACCTTGTCTCAAAGGGGTGGGGGTGGGGGGATGAAGAAGAGGAGGAAGAGGAGAGAAGAAAAACAGCACAAATATAACCAGCGGGGCTGGAATTAACATCTGAAGTGGGGTGAGGGGTCGTCCATGGGACCAATCTGGGACACTACCTGTCTCCAGGCGGCCAGTGTCAATCGAGGATTAGGACACCAGTTGGCATCTGCTGGAGAATTGCTCGGTGTGTAGGGAAACAAACACACACATCTGGGGGCAGAAGTATTGTGTTCACTGAGAAAGTAAAAGAAGAGTTTGTTTTTTCTTCAGTTCTCGAGACAACCCTATGAGATAGTAGGTTTTATCACTAGCCTGTGTAGACGTCCCAACTTGGCCTCTGGGGAAAGGAAGGAGTTAAGTTTCCTGATCCACCTTTGGGAGTTAACTTTACGATCACAAAATTGGCAGGCAGCAGACAGAACGAGGTCTAGGAACGGCTCCGATCCGGATCCCGTCTCTTGCTATCCCAACCACTCCGCGACCCGACTTCCAAGATCCGTAAAGAACAGAACGCCCACCCCCCTCTCTAGTGGGCAGGGCGGGGCAGGTCAGAGTCGGGCTCTGTGACGTCACGGATCACGTCCCCTGGCTCGCCGCTGCGCGTGCGCCAGAAGTGCTGCTAGGTCCCGGAAGTGGAGGGTCTACACCGAGCAGCGCTGGGTCTGGGCGACCGGAGTCAGCAGTGCTCGCGGAGCTCGCCTCCCGACTCCCAGTCACCATGTCGGCTTTCGACAGCAACCCCTTCGCGGACCCAGTGGACGTAAACCCTTTCCAGGTGGGACCCCCAACTCACAGATCTCTTTGGGGTCAGTGGCCGCCGCCCTGGCCTCTTTCGCCAGAGCCGGGAGACGTGGCGTAGGAGGGATGGGCCCTCTGTCCAATAAGGAAGCGCGTTTTGAGGGCTGGCCTATCCTAGCGGCTGGGAGGCGGGACTAGCAGCAGGTGGCTCTGCAGAGGGGCGGGGCGCTGTAGCCTGGAAGGGGTGTGATCTCCCAGCGCTGAGGGGTCGTGGCCCCTCGACTGGCCCTGCTGGGGAAGGGGACTGGCGCGGGTCCAGTTGGACCCGCGGGGAGACCCACTAGTATCGAGAGGAGAGGAGAAATGTGGCTATCACATTCCTTTAGTCGTGGAAAGACACTTATGAGCCACCTTAGGAGAGAGGGTGACAGCAACGTAATGAGGAAGTAGAAGTTTCTAGCGGCACAAAGAAGTGTGGGAGAAGCTCGAGACTCCTCTACTAGCAACAGCCAAAATAGCATATAAAGTGTAGGACAGTCCCTGCGGTTGATTGGGAAATGGCTGGGAGAGGGCAGGCAGGTAGCTCCAGCCTTGTAACCTCGGAACCCTTTCAGTAGCCTTTAAGTTGGAAAATGACCTTGATAAAAATCTCACATCTTGGCCATGCGTCAGGGAGAGGGTCGAGGAGAGGTGGCTCTGAAAGCGTCTTGGCCCCCGCGTGTGGTGGAAGGATGGCTGCGATGCACTGATCTATAAGCTGCCCTGACCTTTGGAACGAACAGTCAAGGAAGAAACGATCTTTCTAAAGTTCAAGTCTTCTGCCTTGGAGTGGAGAGCACGGGGGTGGTCTCTTTCTGTGGAGAAGAGCTTGGGCTTCTGGTAGCTCCAGGACGATTCTGTCACCTCTTTCATGTCTTCTCAAAACCAGTTCTGGGGACGCTTGCTTGTGCTGACTGGTGATTTATGAGCCCCGATATTTCTGTTCTGCTAGGATGTTACCAGGTGTGAGAAGTCATGCTGTTTGTACTTTATTAAGGTCATTGGCAGCTTCCAAGCCATCCCCACCCCACTGCAGGTGATCCGGAAGTCCTTGGAGGGGTCCTTCCTGTGACTCATAGCATGCATTTTTCCCCCGTAAATCTGTCCCTTCCAGCAGGGCAAAGGCAGAAAAGGCTTGAGCTGTCATTACCACTGTCAGGAGAGTGGATATTTTAGGCGTCTTTTTTGGTTTCAAGGTGACTTGGTCAGTGGGAATCCTCCAGGCATATTTTGGTAGCTTGTTCCTTGTAAGACTGGGAAATTCTGAACATTCCTCTTCTAGCTTAATGCTTTCTGACAGTCTTAAGACCTTGTCTCTTATATAAGGCAAACAGCCATCTGTTAGTTGAGTAAGGAAAACACATTTGCATTTTTTGTGTGTCAGTGTCTTTGGTAACTGTTTTGCTTCAATTACAAAACTGCTGTTTAATACTGGGATTTAGAGTTTAGCAAGGATCAAACAGGCTTTTGAAGTGTGGTATGTGATGACTTTTTTTTTTTTTTTTTGGTCCTGTCAGAATTAAATAAAATTTCTGCTGACATCAGAAGCAGTCAGCTGCCCGAAGATGCAGGGAGCTTTTCTCCAGTGCTGGAAGTAGGCAGAATCATCCTGCCGTATATTAATAATAGTTCCTTGGAAGTCTTAGACCACATCTGCAGACCCAGAAATGATTGTGCAAACTGCAGGAGAAGTAATTTCTGCATTCAAGCAAGATTGTCTGTCAGGCAGCGCAGGATGTGGTGGGACAGGAAGCAGCTGCTGGCCTGTTATCCAGCAGCAGCTGGTCAGGAATCCTGTGTGGGAAGCCAGGGTCCTGGCTGGCTGCAATACTATTGCCCTCATTCTGTGCTGAATTTTGAATCCTTGGCACACATTCGAATAGGGAGCAGCAGCTTTGGTTGTGCAGCCACTGAGCTCCTTCCCCTGGTCAGAGTGCCTCTCCCTTCCCATAAGAGAGAAGTGTCAGCTTCCTGACTGCTGGGGCTGAGACGTTGGCAGGGTGCAGCCCATGGGTGACAGGGTGTGAGCCCAGCTTCATTTACACAGGGTGTTGGCACAGAGCTCAGGAGAGAGCAGGTGGGGAGGCGACAGACTCAGAAACTGTCACACCTAGCCAGCCTCCAGAACAGTCGTTTTTTTCTGTCATACCGTATCATAGTGGATTGCAAAAATACATTTAGTGTTCAGAGACTGTGGTTGACAGTTGGAACTGGGAATATTCTTAGAAATCTATACTTTTCCATTTAGCAATCTGGGATCTAAGAATTCAGAATCACCTGTGAATTAGTAAGAAAGGGGCCAGATTTAGGCCTCATTCCCAGGACTATGCTGTTTTTAAAGGTGTTTGAATATCAGACATTGAGGTTATTTTAGGCCAGCTAAGGAAAGAATGTAAGATTATCACCACTGTCACTTTTTTTTTTTTTTAACAAGACAGGATCTTGCCATGTAGTCCAAGCTATTCTGAACTTGCTAGTAACCCTGGCTAGACTCACACTTGTGGTTCTCCTGCTTCAGCCTCCTGAGTACTAGCATTACAGGTGTCTGCCATCATGCCCAGCTTCTCCCCCACTGTAGTATTGGGGATTGAATACAGGGAGTTTGGAGCTACAAATCCAGCCCCCTTTTTAAAATTTTGAGACAAGGTCTTGCTAAGTTGCCCAGGCTGGGCTTGAATTTGTGATCCTCCTACCTCAGCCTCCCAGAGTGCTGGGATTGCAGGTATATGTTACCATGCCTGACTTATTTTCACTGTTCTTGAAATGAGAGTACTAGTAGTGGTGAATGTTGCATATTAGATTTGTTTTTGGTTCTAGGGATCGAACTCAGGACCTTGCGATTGTGAGGCAGGTGCGACACCACTGAGCTAAATTCCTAGCCCCATACATATTAGAATAAGCTAAACATCTTCCCCCCAGTGTGGGGGGAAAAATCATTCAAATTTTATTGTGTGCTTTTCTTTTTTTTTTTTTTAGTGCTGAGGATTAAAACCAGGACTCATGCATACTGAGCCTGTGTTCCACTTCTGAGCTTCACTGCTAGCCCTCTGTGTGCTTTTGTGTGTGTGTGTGTATGTGTGTGTGTGTGTGTGTGTGTGTGTGAGAGAGAGAGAGAGAGAGAGAAAGAGAGAGAGAGACAGGGTCTTGGTGTGTAATTCAGGCTGGCCTCAAACTTGTGGCAATCCTCCTGCTTCAGCCTCCCAAGTGCTGGAATGGTGGGCATGTGCCACCACTCCTGGTTAAGATTCTGTTCTGAGTCATGCCAGTCCTGGAAGATGCTCAGAGTCTCTGGTCAGATAGGTTTCAGCATCCCCCCTTTTCCATTTTTCTCAAAGATCAACAAGGCTTGTAAGTTTGGTCAGGGCTCTGAGAAGTCCTGCTCAGCTTTATTTGTCTGGCATTTCTCAGAGTTATTCAGCCATGAAACGCTGTATCTGTTCACTCTTGGCAAACCCAGGGAAACCCCCAATGCGTCTGTACCTTGACTTCCTCATCCAAAGTCTTTCTCAGGCCCTTGCTTCTGCCCCTGCCCCACAGTTTGGGCACAGGCTTTTCTGACCATTCTTCATGTTCAGTTGCAGTTGGGATTAAAAACTTCCTGCAAAGGAGGAGCTGAGAGTGGAAAGTTAAGTCACAAGAGTGTGGCCGAGGCTTACCAAACTTCCAGCGGGAAGCAGGAAACTGCAGGCCAAGCACCCGTTTCACAACCTCAATTCCCCTGTCAGTTAGGGTGCTCCTGCTCCGCCCTCTCTGGGTACTTGGACCCTACTTCTGCACAATTTCGGGGTGTCTGTCTCCAAAAGTTTCTCACTAAGTCAAGTGATAAATAGCCGGAGAGCTCACAGGGAGGCGTTGTACAGTCTGCTTCTTTTCTCAGCAGGCCACTAAAAGTCAGACTACCCTGCCAAATGCCAGGGCTGCCTTCCTCCATGGCACCTCTGCCAGATTTCCCCAGACTGGGCACTGATTGGGAGGGGACTGGCAAAGGTGGTGATTCTGAATAGAGGGGGACTCTCATCTGCAGACCTGCCAAGTCACATGTTTCTCACTTTCACATGTTAAGAGATAATCTCGGTACTGTGGCTCCTTCCCAAGGACTGGAACATTTCTTTCCTGTAGGAGGATAAAGTGGTGGTGGAAATTGGGGTGTGAACGAAGTTAGATGACTTTGTTCCCCCGCACAGACACTGAAAGCTTTGTGGCTTCCCACAGTTGGGCTGCTGCAGCCTGACTGTCACTTCAGGAATTCTCAGAACTGCCAATGGACCTGGGAGAACCTCCCTGTGGCACAGAGCGTTGTCTTAAGAAATTTGAAAATGTTGAGGCTCTTGGAGCTTAACACTGTCTCCATACAACTGCCCAGGTGAAGCTATTCCTGATTTTGTGGTTGGCACGGGAGGCCGAGCTGGGTGTTAGAACTTGGCCAGAGACTCAGATGAACTTGAACTCTACACTTCCTTAAATTTTCTTCAGAGCCACTAACTGCAGGATGATCCCATGTTCAGAAATGGTAATATTTAACCAGTACAGACAAGGGTACTTGGCTCTCATTCAGAGAAGACATTTGCAAGGGTGGCCCAGCCAGCAAGTGGCCCTGAAAGGTGTGCGTTAGTCCACATCAGCAAGGCCCTGCTGCCCTGTGGGCCTGGGCAAGAGAGCTAGGTACACAGGCATATGGTCAGTACTGGTCAGAACTGTGCAGGTGGCAGGAGAGCAAAGAATGCCCCTCAAAAGCTGGGCATGGGAGCACGTGCCTCTAATCTGAGCACTCTGGGAAGCTGAGGCAGGAGGATCCAATGTTTGAGCCCAGCCTGGGTACCTTAGGGAGACCCTGCTTCAAAAGAGAAAATTTAAAAAGCTGGAGATGTAGCTCAATGTAAAGGCCTAGGTTTAGTACCACACACACACACACACACACACACACAGGCACACACACAGGGCTCTGGCACACCATGGGGAGGATGGGGACAGTGTGCAGCAAACTCTGAAGCATTTCAG